CCCAGGATGGAGGTGGCCGGTCCTGCCCCATCCTGGGCCGGCTGGGCACCTGTGCCTCAGTTTCCCCATCGGTCACAGGGCTCATCACCCACCCCCTGTCATAGGATGGTGGGACACAGAGGATGCGGAGTGAAGACGAGCCACGGTGGCCACCCCACAGGGACAGGGACGTGGCCACGAGCCCCAGGGGACATGAGACGAAGCTGGAGGCACCTGGGATTTACGCCAGAGCAGCTCGCCTCCCACCTCGCCCTGACGGAGAAACGTCACAGGCAGAGGTACTGGAAGTTCCCTTTCGTCCCCAAATTTGTCATGCTGCTGTCACCCAGCCCTGGGTGTGTGTGGGGGGGTCCAGATCTGGCCACCCCACCTCCCTTTGCAGCAGGAGAGGAGGTGGTGGGGGAGGTCCACAGCAGGCTGGTGGGCTCGTGTCCATCCAGCTCAGCTGCGTTTGGTTACCATCTGCCGATCCCTCTTCTTCTTCTCCATCAACCTGGTGGGGAGCAGGGTGGTGGTCTTAAGGACCCTCCCAAGAGGGACTTCCCAAAGCCACGGGGGAGGGGACACTCACTTGCGATTGCGGACTTCGGTGAGCTCCATGAGCCGCTCCTGGGCTGCCCGTAGCTCGTCGAGGCGCTGCTGGTAGCGGGAGTCACAGCCGTTGGTGCGCTCATAGCTGGAGACCTGGCTGGAGAGCTCGCTGGCACGGTCCCGCAGCTGCTGGATAGATGAGTAGAGGTTCTCCTCATCTTCCTCCTGCTCCAACACAAGGGGTATGAGGCTGGTGGGGTGGACAGGGCACCCCAGGGTGCTGTTCCCCCTTGCTCTGGCTGGGGAAACTGAGGCACAGAGTTCCTCAAGCTGCCTGGGCCACCTGCCTTGGCGTTGATGATCTCAATGTGGATGAGGAGGGCGGCGAGCTCCAGGTCCTCAGTGTAGCTGTTCTTCAACGGCACCGACCGGTAGCCTGGTCACAACACCATGACATAAGCTCAGCCCCATGGCAGAGTCTGTCATGGCCAGATCCCCGAGGAGAAGATGATGATGATGATGGTTGCAGGGGGGTTGGACTAGATGACCTTTAAAGCTCCCTTCCAACACAAACCATTCTATGATTCTACAATTCTCTGATGACGATGGCGGTGGTGGTGCAGATGGAAGGACAATACCTGTTTTGAGGCCCTTGACGGGGAAGGTGGCTTGTGCCAAGAAGTTGGGGTCGCTGAACATGTCCTCCTCGTACACCACAAAGCGGAGGAAGGCAAACTCAGGGTTGTTGATGTCGAAGACAAACTGCTTGAAGAGCCAGACAGGGTTGAAGCCGTTGTCGGCTGAGGGGTGAGGAGAGAGCGGGGAGGGTCAGAGCAGGGCTAGACAGGTGGACATCACCAGCATGTCACCAGCATGTCACCAGCACGTTAGTGGGAGATGCCTATCCTCTTCAATAGCCCATGAAACCTAGCCCCACCACTGACATGTCCAAGAGGACCCCAAAGGGCATGGTTAGGGATGTCCTGGAGTCCCTGCTGGTCCCTGGGGCACAGGGGATGGGTGGGAATGTCACCCACGTGGAGCCTCACCTACAACGTCTGTCTTGTTCTTGCTGTTGTCGTACTCAGAGCCGCACACCTCCACCTCCACGAAGGGGCACACGATGCTCCTCCCATTCTTGGGTAGGTGCCGGGCACCGAGGATCTGTGGGAGAAAGAAGAGGAAGAGGAGGGTGAGGTCTGGCCACGCAGGGCAAGGAAGGACTCCTCAAGCCAGCCCCATGGCTCGGTCTGTTTGGGCTTGCCAAAAGCTTCATCATGTCCTTCACACCTTGTTTATGGTTTTAGAACTGGTTTTAGCTTGATTTTAGCTGTATCCATGAAATTATGTCAAAAAACTTTTGCTGGATTTGTGCTGTGCTCAAGAGTTAGGCACCTACAAACCAACCCGTCCTGGCTGTAACACCAAAATTACCCAGGGGCTGAGTAAGGTGCTTCTGGGATTGTTTTATCTGCTTTACCCTCCACCTCGCTCTTGCTCAGGTTAGGCTCAGCTCTGTGCACTCATGGGTCTATCCCCTGTGGAAAAATGATGCCACATGCAGAGAAAGACTAACAAACCCAAGACATCATGCAGTAACAAGCTCCATGGAGAAATATGCAGCTGAAGCATGTAAAAACTACCCTCAGTTGACCCAAAAACAAGGAAGAAGTGATTCCCCATCTTGATGGTGACCACCTCAAGGTGGACTTGCTGTCCTTGCCCACTTGCCTGCAGCTGGACTGTGATGGGCTCCACGATCTTCAGGCTGTTCTTGTCGAAGGGGTCAAAAGTCTCATCCCTCATGATGTCAGGCTGCAGGACGTAGCCGCTGCGGCCACCGAGCATGAAGAGTGCCTGGTTCAGCTGCATCGGCTTGTCTGTGGCCATGGGGACAGAACAGCTCTGAGCCGTGAGGCTCAGGGACCTCCCTGGGGTCCTTGGGCAGAAGGTCCTGCCCTGGCAAACCCACTACTAAGAGCTCCCAACCCTGGTTGGAGAAGGGATGCAGCTGGGTTTTGCATGAAGCAGCCAAGAACTGCATGGAAATGTCCCAGTGTCCCCATCAGGATGAGGACAAAGTTTGGAGAGAGATCATCCACGTGTTGGTGACCACCTCCACCAACAGCACCCAGGGCAGAGCCACTGGAGATGGGGATTTTGGGATGTCCTGCAGGGATGAGCCCAGCAACCACCCCAGGAGCGGGATTTACCGGGCGTCTGGAAGTTGAGGGCCACGAGCTGGCTACCGCAGATCCACATGGGCAACGGGTCATAGTTGGAAGAGTCCAGGCGCTGCCCTTTGGGGTAAATGCGGCTGAGCTGGCGCCGGTTGTACTGCAGGAACTTCTTGCCCTTGCTGCGGTTGGCGTACTTCTCCGCCTTGGTCTCCGGGAAGGAGGACATGTCCCGGTAGCATGCCTTGTCCGTGCCAATCTCTGAAAGCACCAAGGTGGCCATCAGTGGATGACATGGGGCTTTCTGGTGGCCTCGGGGTGGCCCACCATGACTGCTTGGTTCCCCCCACCCATCTCTTCCCACGCTCATCCCATCACCCCTCTTCTCTAGCTCTTACTGTCCTCATCGAATGGCACTGGGCGGCAATACACAACCAGCTCGGAGAGCTCCAGCGCGATCTTCTTCCTCCGCTCCATGATCTTCCCCTCTTGCATCTGCACAAGGGAAAACAGGAGCTGAAAGTCTCCCCTCCAGCCTCCTTCTTTGGAGAAATTTGGGACCATTTCCCAGGTGACTAGACTGTCCACCCACATCTTCTGCACCCCAGTGCCCCTCACCCTGGCATCGGCGTTCTGCGTGGCCTCTCGGATCTTTGCCACCCACTCGCTGAGTTCCTCCTGCGTGTCCGCGGCCACGTCCAGTGACTGGGCTGCGTGGGACATCTGCTGGGAATGGATGGTGAAGACAAATGGTTTGGAGCTCCTCCCGTCTTTGGAGATAACTATAAGGACATCAGAGGAGGGCTTTACTTGAAGACATTCCCAATGGATGGCTCTGTGGAGCAAACGAAACCTCAGAGGTCCCACTCCCAGGCCCCCACCAGCCCCTCCTGGCACCCCAGCAGTCATCAGGGTCCTCCTCCTTCGAGGATCCCCATTTTTTAATGTATGGTTTCAGCTTTCCACATTGCAATGCATTGTTCTTTGAGCCAGGGGTAAATGTTCCCCTGACCCATTCGGATCTCCAAATTCCTCTGAATTCCCTCCAAATCAGGCAATTCCCTCCAAACCCAGCCCCATGTTGCTCGCCGGCACATTGTGCCAAGCGCAAACCCAGCTGGCAATTGAGTGATGAGTTTGGGGAGCCTCAGCTCACAGCACTGAGCTTCAGCACGGGGTGCATGCCATTCCCGCGGGCTCCCACATCTACGGCGGGGACGTGGTGGGGACACTCACCGACGTGGCAGGATGGCACGTCGATGAAGCCCTTCAAGAAGTTCCCCAGGGGGCTGTTTTCTGATGACTGCAAGAGAAAAAGGAAGAGGGAGAGGTGGAGGAGGCATATGGGGCCGAGCCTGGTGCCTTCTCCATTTGGCAGCCTCCCTCCAGCCTGCTGAATTGGCCGAGTCTGAGCAATAGCAGAGGAAAAATGCCCTCTTGGCATGGTCTCGAGCATCCCCCAGCCTCCAGATAAGGGTTTGGGTTGGCTTGGGATTGAAAGCATCTCCCAGCCTCTGGATAAAGGTCTGGGTTGGAGCAGGACCATGAGCATCCCCCAGCTTCTAGATAAGGGTCTGGGTTGGCACAGGGTTGGAAGCACCTCCAAGCCTCTGGATAAGGGTCTGGGCTGGAGCAAGACCACGAGCAACTCCCAGCTTCTAGATAAGGATCCTGGCTGGCACAGAATTGGGATCATCCTCCAGCTTCCAGAAAAGGTCCAAGCTGAGGAGGGGCAGGCAGCATCCCCCAGCCTCTGGATAAGGGTCTGGTCTGGAGCAGGGCTGGGAGCATCTCGGGTGGCCTCGGTCCCCGGTGTGGGGGGACACAGCACTCACGGCCTCATCCTGCTCCTGCGCTTGTGTGCTGACGATCTCCTCCACGTAGTTGGCCGGGAACCACAGTTGCTTCTTGCCCCCATAGTCCCCCCGCCACCTGCAAGGGGTGAGAGGATCAAGGCAAGCGGACCGATTTGGGGGGGGACGGGGGTGTTCATGCTGCATGCAATGTGAGGGAGCAGTTGGAGAAGGGGTGGGGGGACAGAAAAGGAGGCAGTTAAAACCCACTGTGGGACAACCCATGGGAAAACCCAGGGTGTCCCCTCCACCTCCCACCCACGGCGATGCCCACCCAGGGGGCCACCCAATTGCCCTCACCAGCCGCCGTCCTGCTTGTCGACATTGTGGATGATGGCCTGCTTGCAGAACGACAGCTCGTCCTCCCGCTGTGCTTTGTAGTCGTAGAGAGCCTTCACTGTGCACTGGGCCACCGGGGAGAGGGACACATGTCACCACCCAGCAGCTAGGGATGCTGGTGAGCAGTGCGCCCCCGCTCAGCCCCGCTTCTCGAGCCCCCATGGTGGAGCGCAGGGGCTCCTGAGGATCTGATGCCCCAAACGATGCTCCCAAATTGCTCACACCAGCAGTGAGACATGTTAGAGGGGACAGGAGGGCTGGAGGTGCCTGTGGTCCTGTAGGACCACCATGTTCAGTGCAAAGCAGGTTCCTCTTCTGGCTCCTCCAATAGTTTCTCCTGGGGCACTGAAGGGGTTAATCCCCCAATATTACCACAGTCCCTCGAAAAAAAGCCCTTTGGGTTAAGCTTTCCCATGTGTGGTCTTAGCCTGAGAGCTGCTCTGCTGAAAAGGGACCTTCAAGGCACAGCAGTGCTGGATCATGGGGACTGTAGGATCACAGGGAAGGAACCTTGGGGCTCCAGTCCAGCCTCCTCTAGGGCCAGCTCCAAGACCAGCCCAGCCTCAAAAACCTCTGAGGATGGAGACTGCCCCACCTGGGAACTGCCCCTAAACCTGCTCTTTTGGGGTTCCCCAAGTGCAAACGGGGTTTACTTGCTGTTGAGGCAAACTTGTGCTAGGTCCTTGCTCCAGGCTGGGCTCTCTACAGACCTGTACCCCCCACCATGCTGTGCCAATGCTGTCTCTGGAGCTCAGACTGTCCCCAAATGACGGTGGTGCAAGAAGGGTCCAGTATCACACGAGGGTCAGAAAAAAGCAGCAAAATGTCACTGCTTCTCAGGTCAGTGGTGGTAGATCGGGTGGATCTTGGTGGGGGGGAACCAGCCATGAGCCCCTGCACTAGGATCGTCATGTCCCACCACCCTCCAGCTCCCAGGGACACCAGCTTGTCCCCTTACCCTGGCCATTGGCATCTTGTTGGCTTCTACATAGAAGTGGGGGGTCCGCACCTCATACAAGGCTCCATAGTCCAGCTCCTGCAAGGAGAAATGCCTGAGTGGGTCACCTGGATGCGGGAAGTGGTTGCAAGGGGATGTGGTGGGAGACAGGCTACCATGTGTGATCCAGAGGGAGGTTGAGAAGGACCTAATATCCCTTTGCAACTTGTTGGAAGGGAATTATGGTAGAGTTATAACCATGGACAAGGGCTGCAGAAGGAGCTTGGCCAACTCTGGTTGGGCTTTAACTGAGAGGCTGGAGGAGACCTTCCCACCATGGTGGAGCTGGGGATGGGCCTTGATTTCCTGTGGCACAGAGCCCCCATCCCCACCATCCCCACTGCTGGGAGCACTCACGGTGGTACCCATCTTCTCCAGGGTCTCCTCGTTGATGGGGTAGCGCAGCTTCATCTTGCGGTAGAGCGGGTGCTTCTCGTAGTAGCTGATGAGGTCCACGAGACTCTCAAACTCAGCCGAGCTGCCCAGCATGAAGAGCCGACCTTCCTGCTGGATGCGGCAGTGCTTGATCTTCCCCTCCGCCCTGGGGCCAAGAGAGCCGGGAGGGATATGTCAGGGGTGGCCAGACTCCGGCTTCATGATGGGGATGGGCAGGAGGTGATGCCCTGCCCTAGCAGGGATGCCATGGGGGTGACCGCCCTGAGGACGGGGCTTTCCCATCACCGCCGCTAGTGGTTCCCCCCCCCCCCGGGACACCCCCGGG